GAGAGAGAGAGAGAGAGAGAGAGAGAGAGAGAGAGAGAGAGAGAGAGAGAGAGAGAGAGAGAGAGAGAAGCACAGAGAAATACTAGTAAAAAGAACTTTGTAAAGAAAATATGACAGAGAGATAAAGAGAGAGTAGACGAAAGAACACAGAGCGGTAGAAAGAATACAGAGAAAAACTAAGAAAAAAAATGGAGAGAGTAGTGGAAAGAACAAAGAAATGGAGAGAGAGAGCAGTTTGGAATCCAAACTTTCAAGAGAAGAGATACAACCCCACCTCCTTGAGCAATGCTGTAGCAAGCGACTGCACAAGTCTGAATAACAGTGTTCTCCTGTCTTGTAAAAGTGGAATTAACGAACCCCAACCTCTGCAACAACTCATTCCAACCTTTCATGAAAACGAAGGCGAGCAAAGCGGCCGATATGCTAAGAGAAGGCACGATACCAGTCGTCAAAACCAGCTTCATACAAATCACACTGTACAAAATCCCAATGCCTATGCTCACAAATATGCCTCTCAAAGTGATCTGGGACCTCCATGGAGGCACCTTCATGTACTCTGGCTCCTGCAACTCCACTTCCATGGCGGCCTGTTCATGTTCCATTGTTTGATGTTTGTTGAGGCCCTGAGCCAAATGGGTTTTCTTCTTTCAATGGAGAAATGCTGAATTCATGGCGTTCTGTGGATGGGGTGGTTGGGTGAGTGAAGACTCTTGGGTTTCTTTGGTTTTAGAGGGGGAAATACTTTTTTCATTTGTGTGTCTTCCATGGGGTTGATCACAACGGTTCGTGTTTAGAGAGAGGGGATGAGATTTGCTTTGGGGGGAACCATTGTTGCCTGGAGAAAGAGTCAAGCTTGTGCTGGCCAGGCGTCCCCAGTAGGAAAGAGACAGAGATCTTACTGTTCTGTTTGTGTTTTGAACTGTTGTCCTTGTTAAAGAGAGAGGAATCACTGCTATGCTTTTCTTCGTGTCTAAATTTAGGGGAACTTACAAACACCATCCAAACTGGACCTCTCCCCAACCACTTTATGGATCACTCGATAAGTGTTTTCTATACCCTTTAGCCCCACAATCAAAACTCAAACCTCACGCCCCCCTCAATGCAGCTTCTGGAGGCACTCACAGGTAGGGGTCGCAATGGACCCCAACTTCACCCCCTATACCCAACGCGGCTCCGGGTATGGCTCGAACATTTGGACCCGTGGGTGGGTAGGATCTGGGTCCTGCAGTGTGTACCCAAAAATTTCCGGATGCATACGGACCCGCCCTGTACCCTATTTGGACCTGTTAGCAATATATAATGCTCGTAAGTTAATTTTATATATGGGTGTGGTTTGTATAGAGCCTAGGCTCTAAACAATCAAATTAGAGCCTACCTTCAAATAGTATCGAGGAGTGTGGTTTCAATACTGAAAATCTTTGTGATAGCCTTAAAATATATTTTCAGCTTTATTTATAAAATTTAAATCTTCAAAAAATAGTGTAGATCGGCAGATCTATAAAAACATGAAAACCTTGAAAATTGACGGTAAAAAAATGCGTTACAAAATACATTATTTCCAAATTTTAAATCCATTTTTTTCTCATATCCATGCATCTTGATGTCGAGATGATCAACTTAAAGATATTTGGACATCAAAACAACCTCTTCTAGTGAAATTTTTGATGTAGGCTCCAATTTGATTGTTTAGAGCTTGAGCTCTATGTAAACTTTTTCCTGAGAATTTTAGTATACTATTTTACTTTTAGTTAACCATTTTAAAATGTAATTAAGCCTACTTTAATTAAATTAAGCAAACAACATCTCTAGTTATGCCCATCGTTTTAATTGTTTTTTACCCAACTCTATATCCCGTATCTCTCTGCTGCTCGCCTTGCCTGCTCTCTCTGCAACTCTATGCATCTCTCACTCTTTGAGCTCTTTGATCCCCGAAAGCCTTTGAGGGTTATCTAAACACTCATCAGTATATATATATATATATATTGATAATTTAGTGGCTCTATCCATTTTTTCAAGTAGATTAGAAGTTAGCTTTTTAAAGTATTAGTGGGGTGGTGCCCTGCCCCATTCTTGCACTCATCGGTTATATACACCACAGAGGCCATTTTTGAATTGTGGACCAAACCTCAGCTGCAACTGTATTGCACTTAGGTCAGCAAGAATTGCGAAGATTTCTGAGAGAAGGCCACCTCGATGGATGTGTGCTCAGATGATGGTTGGACCCCTACCGACCTCCTTAGTGAGGAGAAACTTGAGGGTTTTGCTCCAAGAGACTCGAAAACAGGGATTCAAGATTTTTGTGTGTGCTCTAACAGATAACAGGTAAGTCCCTCTACTCCAACAGATTCCTACATAAGTTTCCCCTCTCTCTCTCTCCTAACTTGGTGGATATACGTCCCAACCCCTCGAGGCTTCCTTCTCTCCCTCTGATGCACACAGGCACACGAGAACAAAAGTGGGGTACAGGTTTGGGTTATGGGTCCAAAGTGTTCCCTCGGGTACGGGTACGGGTACAGGTACTCGAATTTTGGACTGGTGTACACATATTCTATTTCGGGTCCACGTAAGGGTCCGGCTGGACCCAACCCATACCCGACTTGTTGCCAGCCCTACTCATAGTCCATGCGATCTGACTCATATTCTTTGCGGTCCAGCACATTTTCTTTGCGGTCCAATAATGCGTATTCTAGATGCACTCACTCGGTCTGGCACTTTTTCCAAGTGGTCCGACACATTTTCTTTTCAGTCGATGTAATGCCTTCGTGTACGGGTAAGGGCAATTTCATCTTTATAACTGTGACTCTTTTGACTTGGGGGATCTTTCTTATAGAAGTTTGTTTTGGGATAAAAGCTATGATAAAAGTTGATTGTGGGAGAATGTATAGAAAGTTCAGTCAAGGGAGATTTTTGTAATTTTCCCTTAAATTTAGGGTGGCAATGGGTTGGGTGGTCTGGCCTAGCCCGGTTTGCAGGTCTCTAAAACATTAGAGCTTAGACGGCCCAAGGGCACAATGAACCACGGTTCGAAGATTGACCACTTATTTTTCTTTTTTTATTTTATTTCACTTATTCATTCTTTTCTCTTTTACTTTTTATTTTATTTAGCCCAGGCCTGATAGGGCTAGGGCTGGCCATGGGCTAGGCCCAACCCAGCCCAGGTGAGAAGTCACAATGGTTTTCAGTGAGCAGTGTGTGCAAGTGTGCAAAACATCATAAATAGACTGAAAGAAGCATACCAGAAACAGAGCATAAACAAAGTAAACTGGAAAGAAGAACTGAAGCATACCAAAGCAATAAATCTAGATTGAGAGGCTCTAAGTAGCTCTCTGACCTTAACAAACAACTTACAAGGCCTTTTATAGGCACCGGAATTGAAATCCGGATTTCAAACCAAAATTAAAAAGCAGCAGGTGGCTGACATATACAGTAAACCTGTGTCATGAACAGTGGACAGGTGGCATGAACAGTAGACAGGTGGCCGACATGAACAGTGACAAGAGGCCGTCATGAACAGTAGAGTCATCCTTATCTTGAACAGTAGTGAACAGTAGAGTGACAGGTGGTCCTTATCTTGAACAATAGTGAACAGTAGAGTGACAGGTGGCCCTCTAATCTGTGTCATATTCGAGGGGTAATCCATCAGAACCATAACTTGGTGATGAGTGGTTGGATGGACTATGTGAGGGACCAGTATAAGAATCATCACTGGAGCTATCAAGTGGTCTTTCAGGCGGTGGAGGATGGTCAGCAAGCCATATATGTAATTGGTGTAGAAGGGCAGCACTTTAGGGAGTCTGATCATTCCATACTGTTATTCTTGCATAGACATCCAAAGGAATCCATTCTGACAGGATTCTGTTAATGTAGCACATGAGGATTTTTAACTCTCTCCATAGCTCAGTTTGAAATAACCAAAAGTTCAAGAGATTAGAATCATACCATCCAATGGTTTGGGTGATAAAAGTATATTCAGAATAGATCTGGAATTGAAGTGTCTGGTTTGGGAAGATACCAAAGAAAACAAAGGGCTTCTTTAGGCATATTATAATAGTGTCTGGTTTGGAATAAAGATAGAAAATGATATGTAGGATGGTATCGAATTCATTGAAAACGTTCTCCATGATTTCTGATTAATATTTCATACATTTTTTGTTGTATAGTCTCATTTTTTGCTTCTATTGTCTTGGTGAGTATGATGTCATATATTTCATCGGGAATATATCTGGGTTCATTCTCATCCATTCTTATTATGGCTCCGTAGAAGGGGACGATTAGAAGCATAGTATCTTCAGAATATTTCTTTCAAGAAAACATATCAGCTAAGATATTGTTCTTTCCAGAAATATGTTTATATTCAAAATTCCATTGTGAAAACCAACTAGCCCATCTGAGTAACTGTGGATTTGGAAGTATCTTGTTTTTTAACCTGAGCATATTCGGAAAAGTTGAAAGGTCCGTTTCAACCATGAAAAAATGTCCTATCAGATAAAATTGGAAATTTTCAATTCCTCTTTTTACTGCAAGGATTTCTTTAAATGTAGAGTGGTAATGACGTTCAGATTCTTTGAATTTTCTGCTTTTATATCCACAAATCATTCTTTCTTTATCTTTTTCTTCAAGTAAGATGCATGCCCAAAATTCATCCGAAGCATTAGTTCTTAAAATCCTCCTGTTGATGGGATTTTTAAAGAAAGAAGATTATGAGAAAGCTTTTTGAGCTCAAGAATACACTCAGTCTATTTTTTTGTCCAAGGTGGTGCTTTTTTCTTCAAAAGGAGATAAAGTGGACTAGTGAAGAGAGCAAGCTTAAGGATAAAAGGGGACATATAATTCACAATTCCTATAAATTGTTGAATCTGCTTTACGGAAGATAGAATATCTGGAAATTCTAATAAGTGTTTTGCTATATGAGGCTGGAGTTTATACGTTCCGTTATAGAAATGCATACCAAGGAAATCAATTTCTGTTGTAGCAAAAACATATTTCTTTTCAGAAAGCATAATGCCATATTTACAACACAGGGAATAGAATTTTTCTAATAGAAGTATATGACTATCAAGATTTGGAGAGAAGAGGAGTATATCATCTATATATACCAGTGCTTGTGTTGAGATTGGTTTTAAAATGTTGCTTAAAACTTTCTGAAAATATGGAGGTGTGTTTTTTGAACCAAAAGGCATGACAGTCCATCGAAAATGATAATTTGGTAAACAAAAAGCTATTTTAGGACGATCATCTGGATGAATTCCTATTTGCCAAACACCTGATCTTAAATCAAATTTAGAAAATATGTATGCAAGAGAAATTTGAGAAAATAGTGCAGTTTGGTTTAGCAGAGGGAATTTATCATCTGTAAGAAAAGCATTCAAAGGTTGATAATTGATTACTAATCTAAGTTTTCATCTGATTTGTTCTGCTCTTTTATTTACATAAAAAGCTTCACAAGCCCAAGGAGAACTTGTAGGTTCAATCAAATGTTCCTTTATCAAATCTTGAATTTCTAGTTTAGCTTGTTCCAAAAGATATGGATTTAAACCTCTGTGAGAAGCTTTTGTGGGATTTATGTCCTCATTCTTCTTGAAAGATAATTTGACATAAAAGTTCTGATTTCTCTAAAGAGGGTTTTTGCATTTTTTGATAAACTCAGTATTAGAGTTTGCATAACAGTCTGTCAAAATTTTTTGTTGAATGCTTCTAAACTGTGAGATCGGTCTAATGAAGCAATCCAAGGTAATGTTAAGTTCCTATAATGTAATCTTTTAGAGGTTCATTGAAGTTTTACTTGATGTAGGACATCAAATTCAAGTAATAGTTCCTTATTGGGCAAATGAGATCCTAACAGTTTGTGCTGGATAACTAGTTTGGGAAAAAGTTTTATCAAAATGGGTTTGCTAATCTGGTTTATGGTAAATTTCTCATCATTAACAGCTCGAAAAGTTTGGTTGCATATTTCCCAAAACTGTTTTGGTAGCAAATCTGGTTTCAAGATACTAGCTGATGTTCCTGTAT